GCGTGTTGGAAAATTTCTCGACTTCTCTGGGCATAGAGTGTGATTGTACTTTTTCCACTAATGCAAAAATGGTACAGGCAACGAAAGGTCTCAAATAATAACTGTGGAAGTGCATCTAGAACACTAAGGTGAGAACACGCAATTAGATATATTGCGGTAAGCTTGAAATACGAATAAGAAGAAGAAGAAGAAGGAGAAGAAGAAAAAGGAAAAGAAGAAGAAGAAGAAGACGAAGAAGAAAAAGAAGCTTCGAATTCAGACTGTGGAGGATACTGAGGTAAGAGCACTCAATGGTGTTATTTTGAAGGGTTGGCCCGGATCCAAAGAGGATTTGGAACCCGAACACCGAAAATATTGGGGTTTTACAGATGAGCTGGCTTCGTACGAACGGTTCGTTTTCAAATTGAATCAAATTGTAATTCTCAAGTAATTGAGGAAGAAAATGTTAAATTGGTTCATAGTGGACATCCACACTGAAGTAAAACCTCACATAATCGTCATTGGTGAAATCCTTTAAATGTTATTGGTTATCCAATGAAGAAATCCCTTTGAAGAATCCAATGAAAGTTAAGTGTCAATGATTGACAGTAGCAACCTGGAAAAAAGGTGTGTGAGCTGAATTTATTTTCAGAAACATCGTACAGAACAAACTATGCAAAAAATAGCCCAATCAATCGAATGATGCGCCTATATAATTTGCATTGCGGAACTATTGACATCACTATGTCCAAGCAGCAAATAAAAACTAAGCTAAAACAGAATAGAATTAATGCATAGCATGTAAGTAAACATTGTAATAATCATTGTATGTAGTCTACACTGGCTTGACGAAATGGAAATAAAAGTATAGTAAATAAAAGTATGGGATTTTCTAAAAGTGCAATCTTCTATCTTCTATATATATAAAAATGAATTTCTGTCTGTCTGTCTGTCTGTTTGACCCTTATAGACTCGGAAACTACTGAACCGATTGGCGTGAAAATTTGTATACAGGGGTTTTTGGGGCCGTGGAAGGTTCTTATGATGGTTCGAGACCCCTCCCCCTTCTGTAAAAGGGGCTCCCATACAAATGAAACAGAAATTTCTGCATAACTCGAGAACTAATCAAGCAAATGGAACCAAAGTTAGGCATATGGGGGTGAGTGTGGGGGTATAAGGAGATAATCATAGGGGGTAGCCCCTTAGATAATAGGGGCTACGTACAATATAGCATGCTTTTTTTTTAAATCGGCGCATAAACTCAAGCTAATATTGAATCCCGAGCAAGACCGGGCACACTCAGCTAGTTTTAAATAAAAATCAATCGTTCTTACGTGTCATTTTCGTTCCATGCAGATGTACACTTAGAGCAAAGCAAGTGCTGTTTTGGGTTCACATGAGCAGAGATATCCAAGATATGGTCAATTGCTGCAGCGTATGTCAACAGCATCTGCGCTGCACTCCAAAAAGCACTATTGTCACGAAGCAGGTTGCTGAGCTGCCGTTCGAGCGAGTTGCGTCGGATTTGTTCTACTTTAGAGGAGAGGAGTATGTTCTGATTTTAGATAGCTGGTAAAACTTTTTCGATTTTAAGACACTGTCACGGTCATCATCCGAAGCCGAAGAAGTCATCGATATTATGAACAACTGGTTTGCCACGTTATATAGGGAAAATGGATGTAATGTTGGCCAATAAATTTGGACCCATACATAAATTCAACAATCGACTAAATCAACGACCAAAATATCCATTAGTACCGTCTCAATGATGCGTTCATCTAGATAATATTGATAAATAGCAATAATATAACACAGACAAACGAACAGATCATTGTAAACACTACCACCATCTGTCGTATACACATCTCGTATATACAGATGACTGCTAGTCTGTTATCATATATTCACTATCGCAACTTTGGGTAATGGCTCTAAAGTTGGCCTATGGATCTAAGATTAGGCCCAGTGCTACAAAATCTGCTATCTATCAATTTTATCTAGATGAACGTGTCGATTGCTGAATTTATGTATGGGCCCACTTAAGGCAACAGTTGTAAAACGGTCTACACTGATTGACGAGAAATAAAATGAAGATACATTCACAAGCTAAAATATGTAACCGTGTAATCCAGATGGGCATCCAAAACTGCCTTTATGCATTTTGGTGAGCATCTTTTATAAGAAGAGCATATGAAGATCGATATTTTGATCATTTTTACGAATTGACCACTTTTACGGATGTTCCGGATCTCCCAGAGGACCGTTCCGTGACCACCAGTGTGCGCATGCTGGTCCCAGATTAAAATTCATTCATGTAGCATCACATCAAGTGATATAAAAAAATCGCTGTGATATGGATCTTTTTTACGAATTGACTACCTTTACGTATGTTTCGGATCATCCGGAGGACCGTTTCTTGAGTGCCTGGGTCTGTAGTTGGATCTCAATCTTCAATCTTCACGGTTAGGTATATTAATATTGCCGAAAAAAAAAATTACGAAGCTCCGTGATCAATTTCAGCTCGAAGTTCGACGATAAGCTTATCAACTACCGGTGCAAAAGTCGAAAACATACATTTACAATCGTGATAGCAACGACCGGTGCGTAAACTGGTTGCTTACTAAAATAGAAACGGCTAAAGTTGTCAAACTAACACTCCGAATAGCAACGCACCGGTTCGGGTGCTCTAATGACATTTTAATAAATATCTACTCTTCTTCGACGATCCACCTAAACATGTTTTTGTTTAAGCTAGACCTCGCAAACTTAAACCATAATCTACGCCCACTAAATTTATCAGCCAACACTAAAAACAAGCAGCCTACCTTTTTGTAAACAAAGGAGGACCACCCAGAAACATATACATTTCATCCACGCGTAATCTGCATGTTCTCGTATAGAAGCAAAACATTAGTCATCCGTCAGCCGCTGTAGGATTGGGCGATCTCAGGGATTCGGCGGCTTGATTTTATTCACAGCACTAGAATCAAACCTTCAATTAAATGGACATTTTCTTCGAATTATATTTACGTAATTTTTGAGAAATAACAAAAGGCAGAATTTTCATCACCATTTACTCATGTTGTTCAAGAGATTCGATTGTTTTCAGAATAACTTTTTAGGGATAGCTTAAGGGGCTGTTCATAAACTACGTGGACGGTTTAGGGGGGTGGTGGTAGGCAGTTATCCCATAAAACTGTCTACATAGTCAATGAACAGCCCCTGAATGGAGAAGATAAGAAAAAACAAGTGGAATCAAAGAATGAGCACCGGAATGAATGCCTCCATATCATGGAACATTAACATGGTAACGTGAAACTACACACTTAAGTATTTCTGCAATTTATTTTGTTGAGATTTAGTGAAACAATTGCTGAGACTCAGCAAACAAATTAGATTTTTACTGAGATCTCAGCCAACAAACAGATATTTAGCAGAGATATCAGCAAAAGTAAATGCCGAGATAATCGAGATTAGATTTTACCGAGCTAGATTGACTCGTCTTTCTCGCCAACCATACTGTTATGCTGTGTAATGATGAAAGATACAACAATGTATCTATTTTATTTAACACTAGCTGAGTGTACCCGGCCTTGCTCGGGATTCAATATAAGCTTGAGTTTATGCGTCGTTTCCAAAAAGCATGCTATATTTTTCTGTTTCATTTGTATGGGAGCCCTCCCCCCCCCCCCCTTACAGAGGGGGAGGGGTCTCGAACCATCATAAGAACCTTTCCCGGTCCCAAAAACTCCTGCATACAAATTTTCACGCCGATCGGTTCAGCAGTTTCCGAGTCTATAAGGGTCAGACAGACAGACTGACAGAAATACATTTTTATATATCTCGATGAACATTTCAAATGGTCCTATCTGCTTTGATCGATTCTCTTCATCGACTTTCTCTTTCGTCAATAACTCAGCTGCAAAACCTTTCCCTGTTGTATTTGACGTTTTGGACGCTAGATAAGAACCTCCTTTATCAAACTATGTGGTAGAATTAGCGCGAAATCTGTTTGCATAGCAGTGGTTAGGAAAAGAGAAAGTCGATGAAGAGAATCGATCAAAGCAGATAGGACCATTTGAAATGTTCATCGAGATATACACAGCAAAAAAAAATGTAATATCGATCAACGTAATTCAAGCTGATGTACGAAATAATGATGTAATAGCAAAAAGCAAATACAATATTACATCAATGGATGTAATTTTGTTCGCAAAATCGATGTACATCGTACAACGTTATATTACACAACCGATGGATTGACCTGGTTGCAGCAGTTTGGATGTAATATTCAACAACTTTTTTTGCTGTGTATATATATATGAGGGCGACCCCGGCGTAGTGGTTAACATCCATACCTCTCACGCCATAGTCACGAGTTCAAATCTCACCCCCGGACAAGTCACGAATGACCCAAGAGTGTTAAAGTGACTATAATAAAAAAAAAAAAAAAAAAAAACAAAAACATTTTTATATATATTTAGATTAGTGCTGATACAGATTTTTAGGTTATTCAAAAAACACTGATAAAAAATGCATTGTTTTGTTTGTTTGAAGATCGATTTTTAGGATTTTAATAAACGAAGAATCGATCCTAAAAATCAAAAATCTAGGTGAAAAAATTGATCTCTCAAAGATTGAGCCAAGATCGCCCAATCCTACTGCTTCGATGCCTTAAGGTACTGTGATCATGAAGAAGAACAACTGCGCATGACAATCGTTGGTGATAGTCAACCAGATCGGAGGTGGATGATTTTTGCGACTATTAATTAAATTTCATTTTAGAGAAATCCATTCATTGACACTTATTCAATCTCACAAAATCCGCCTCATTAGGAAATGCCAACTTTAGCTTTTACCACTTTTTAATGAGCTAATAACTTAAACGATCGCCTCACCGTCGCTGTCGTCCTCGTCGTCGCTTTCAGCTCTACGATACGAGACAGAAGCAAATTGACGATCACCAGAAGGCCCGGTTCTTCGAGTGGGCGGATCACACAAAACAGAAATTGCCCAAATTCGAAACCAAATGATAAGTGAGTGCAAATTAAGAAATAAATTAGGAATGTTAGAGTTGGATTCGACCAAATCGAATCCATACCGTAAATGGTCGGCACCGGCACTAGGGATGATGCAGTGCAGTAGTGGTTCGGTATGGCATTCGTAGCGGTGGGAATGATTCAATCAACATTACGTGGGTTCGGAAAGCATTGAACGGAGTGACAAATAGCGACATTAATCTATTAGCTGGAGTGTGCGGGTTGATACATAAACAAGTGAAATCACCAATCCTCGTTGACCTTGAGTGACGCTATCTTCTTGAGTTGCTTGGCCGATAGCTGAGGTTTGATTTCTTCGAAAATGTTCTGCGGAATGTTTTCTGCAAGAGGTTTAGATATGTATGATTGTTTGTGAGATTAAGAAGCCATTGGAAGCTCACCGTTGCAGCGGTAGACCAGGTTCGACCATGTGATTAGCTCCTGCGAGAAACAGTAGACTCCTACACGACCTCCTTTGATAGTTCGATCAAAAATGTTGCCCGAGTCGGCCTCTAGAAATTCCCCCTTGTACAGTCGGAATCGAATCAGTCCAATCGATGGTCGGTGGAGCAACTTCCATCGGTAAGAAGTGGAAAATTTCCAACCCTTCTTGATCGGATCCTGCCACAGGAGCTGGGTCTGTCCGGTTACGCTGGCGTCATGCCACAGGCTATTTCGTAGGTCGATCCCCGGTCCGGTTGTGCTATTAACAAGTTTTAATAAAATTCCAGATGTTGCATAGGCTTTAAATGGGTTGTATTCCCAATATAATTGGTTTCTTTGTTTCCACGACGCCATGTAAAATTTCCTATTGTTGACGAATCCAAATACAAATCCTACAAAGTCATCGTCCACAAATGTCGATGACTCCGACACAAAGAACGTTCCTTCGAAATCCACGCCTTGCAATCGATCGCGCCTGAAATGATCAATCAAATCACCATATTGAGAGAAAACACTACAACAGGATCATACCCGATTGCCAATCCGGGATCGCTGTTGAACTTCTGGAAGATCTCCGCACCTCGGTTTCGAATTTCCCAATACGGATCGTATTGACTCTGACCGACAGGATCAAGAGCTATGGTTTTAAACTTCCGGAAGTCGGGGTGCTTTATACGTGCATTGCGTGGACAGTTGTCCAACCAATCCACTATGGAATCTCCATCGAAGTCTACTTCACAAGCATCTCCGACTCCGTTCACTAAAAACAACACAAATGCTACTTTCCGCAAGTACCAACAACCTGTCGACAATTACTTACTGTTCAGATCCTCTTGGTTAGAATTGGAGACCAACAAACAATTATCCTCCTCATTGATAACTCCATCGTTATCCTTATCATCGTCACAAGCATCCCCAATCCCATCCGAATCTGAATCCAACTGGTCAGCGTTGATCTCATTCCAACAGTTGTCCCGATTATCCTGAATACCATCTCCGTCCGTATCCAGACCTGTTTCGCAAACGTCACCCACCTCATCCCCATCCGAATCCTTCTGATCACTGTTGACATTGTTTGGGCAGTTGTCACAAACATCCCCTACGCCGTCTCTGTCGCGATCTTCTTGTCCAGGGTTGGAGACCCATATGCAGTTATCTCTATCATTACTCAATCCATCACCATCCAGATCACTGTCACACACATCCCCAAGTCCATCCCCGTCTGCATCAAGCTGATCCGTATTGGAATTACTTGGACAGTTATCACAATGATCTCCGATCTTGTCCCCGTCCGAATCTTCCTGCCGCGAATTTGCCACATTTGGACAGTTATCGTTCTCATTATACAGTCCGTCAAAGTCCATATCCCTGTCACAAACATCACCAATTCCGTTACCATTCAAGTCTTCCTGACCCGAATTAGGCAACTCCAAACAATTGTCCTTTGCGCACTGTGGATCCGAGCAACTCAACGCCACATCCGGATATCCATCCTGATCGCTATCCTTCCCACACAGCACTCCATTACCGGCCAAGCCCACCGGACATCCACCGCAAGTAAAATACGGTGCCGTATTCTTCTTGGAACAACTAACCCCCGTATAGCAAGGTTTAACCAAACAAGTATTTCGACTACAGTATCGTCCATCCCCTTCGTACCCTGCTGGGCATGATCCGCACTCAAAATGCGGAGACTTCGCCGACCACCGGCAGCTAACTCCCGGAAAGCAAGGCTTCTTGACGCATGTATCCATCGGTTGACAAGTCTCGCCATCACCTTCGTACCCGGAAGGACATTTGCCGCAACGATAGTATGGATACTCATCCACCATTCGGCAGTCCACCCCTTCGTAACAGGGTTTTTTCAAGCAGAGATTCCTCCGGAAACAATTTCGCCCGTCACCGTCGTAACCCACTGGACATTGGTCACAGTAAGGTTTGCGACCGTATTCGTGGCAAGCTACGCCAGCGAAGCAAAGACCATTATAACAGTAGTCTTTGTTGGAAACGGGAAACGTGACATTCTTGACGCAATTGGTACACTTGTCCAGCAAACTCCGGACAAAGTCCAGCTCCTTCCAAATCAACGAGAAGTAAGCTGCAAGGGAACAAGGTGATTCTGTGGTTAACTTGCTTCATTCGAACGGGATATTCCGAGGACTTACCATCACAGTCGAACTCATGCATGGGAGCATCCATTCCGGGAAGGACGTTCCGATTGGGAGGCAGTGATGGGTTCTGGTTCGGGATGTAGAGGTTGTCCAGATACCAATCGCGAGTGTCGCCATAACGGCGGAGCTCGTCCGATTGGACGAGCATGATTGGAAGCAGTAGTTTCAGTAACGTTAGACTGAACATCTCCGATGGACGGCCGGTTAGCGACTGAAGATTTGCGGATATGCGATGTTCCATTTTTAGGGGGTGTTCAACAGTCGAGTGTGAAATTCGATCCTTGACTGCGTTCTACATACAAGTGGTGTATGCACAAACATTGGGCCGTATGAATAAAAAAGTTAGCTTTACTTTTTTTCCCATAAGGCTCTGTATTCATATGGCCCATTGCATCTGTATCGTTGGTAGCATGCACGGGGAAAACATTGTTCAAGATAGTGAACATTAATACTAGAGGCGTATAGTCTGAAACTCGACACAATTTCATTTGCAATGGCAGTTTGACCATAAAGGGTGTCCCACATCAAATTGCATCACGGAAAAAAACGCTGTAGAAAATTACCTAGTTGTACTAACAATCAATACGAAACTATCGATTTGAAATTGGCTCACTACTTGACTAGCCTATTGGTCCCAAGGAAACGATTAGCGTATCCCATTCTTGTCGGAATTCTAGTACTACACTATGTTTGTTTTGATTCGCTATTATAATGTTTGACAGATGAAATGAGGGGTTAGTGGATTATCCTATGTTTCGAGGGGTGAATCGATTAGCTTGGGACCGAAGATAGTACCAGAGCTGAGCCAAAAAGTTGAGCACGTTTCTTCGGGACCTTCTATAGTCTAGTACAGAACAATTTTCTCTTCCCGTTCAATATCGGGCTGTAATTGACTGTAGCAGCGTTCAGTGGGGGATAAACACCCGACCAGAGAATGAAGACAAAATGAAAACAAAATTGGATATTTTGATATAAGCGTTCTTGATAACATGTTTTGAGAAAAAAAAACGGCATGTTTATCGATCCCGTAGACATTCATCTCGATTTTTAAATCAAGATTCAAATTTTTGATCGTTGACACTAAATCTATTCGTTGACAGCTCGCTTCCATACAAACTTCCACCAAGGGGTGCTAAGATGGCGATTTTTGCTAATTTATTCGTACTTATTTAAAATAGTTCCAATGTACCAAAATTGATTAAATTTTGGATTTCGGTTCCATTCAGTGTTATTCCTGACCCGATATGGGAAATGACAGGTGGGCAGGAACTCACGGTCTCCCAGTGTTGGTGAGTTCTTTGCCGTTAATGTTCACGAAAAGTTCACTATTTTGTCATACAGAAATTCAAAACAAAAATTATCTGCGGATTTGGACAGTTTTTGACCTGTTTCATACGACCGGAAGGTGTATGCTGGTCACAAATGCCGTGCCAAACTGATTTCCTACGCAATTAATCAATCTTTGATGTGAATTTCGCTAATAAACACGAGGAGCATTTCTTATAGCAAACTTGTCATAACCAAATGGGCATGGTTCATTTTAGTAAACAAACTAACACTTCTTCCGACTGTGTCACCTCTCTTACTCGCCTAGATCCTGACCTCTATTGGCGTTGACGGTGATTCTGTAGCTCTTTACTCCTATGGTAAAATCCATAAGCAAACGTCAGACTGTGCGTGAAACATGGCGGACTTTGTACTATCCTTTCACTCCCGCGAAAAATCCCATCAGAAACTGTCAATCTTTGCAAGAAGAGACGATTTTTCGACGGTGCCATCAACGCCAATAGGAGATCAAAAGCAAAACAAACTGTATTGTGGTGACACCTAAGTTCCGGTTCAGTAACTAAAAGCGTGATGATAGTTTTGTTTTTATTGAATGGCGGTGGTACGGAACTACTGAAAAATACTTGTGTATCACTGCGAATTTCACGGATTTCTATAATGAAACTATTCGGATATGGTAAAAAACATATCAACTACTCTATCCCTCACATGTTATATGCCTTTTAAAGAATAATCTGAACGAAAATTGAGATCCAGTTTTCAAATTTGCATTTGATTGAGGTTAAAATCTTTGCGTACGGAAGAAAGGTTCACCGTTTGTAACGACAACGACGTCATTTTCCTGGGATACCGGAAATATGATGCTAGTAGTATTCATATCATCGGATACATGACCCAAAGCTCTACTCCGGGCAAGGTTTCACTCAAACTCTAAAGTTGACCATGGAAGATACAATATTCATACTCTCGGAGGTTAGGAAGTCAATCAGCTCCCACACCTGGACCCGAGATGGTGCCCATATCGGCAAAAAATCTAGGTGTGCAAGTATTCCACTAAGACGCCCACATTCATCAGGATGTATTATTTTATTATCAGTTACAATTCCAACGTGGGTCGAAACTGGCTCTCCTACCCTAGTAAACAATCTCGAAAAGTTCAATAATGTGAAAAACTGGCCTAGCCTAATAATCTTAATAATTTTGAAACGCAATATTCGAACAAAATTTATGGCTGAGTATTAACAAATTCGTAGATCTAATTGTTTTCTGGAAGAATTTCAAAGCTCAATCTATCAGTTCGGACTAGTATCATGCAAATAAGTTGTGACTAGATACATTTTAAAAAATTGCTACTTTTAAGAATATATCATATTTCGGAATTTATAAAATTGTCTTAATTATGCAATTTGTTGCGATCTTCAAACCCGAAAATTCTAATAATTTATTTTGTGTTTTCAAAAGAAATGTGATGTGAGCGGTTCTCTCCGGTTTTCTGCATTTAAAATAAAATGCCTTTACTTTTTTTTTCAGTGACATCAATCATGACAGTATTCCTTTTTTACCAAATTTATTTATATGAAACCAGGAGTTTAATTTCTTAATTTCAGTGGCCACCAAGTTTGCATTCTCGTTAATTAGGTGATACTTAAAGAATTTTAAGATCTCGAGTTTCGAGCATTTGTTCTAGATTCTTGAACTTGCAAACATGTTCAAGATGATGGAAATGAATTCCACTGAACTCCCCCTTGCCTACGCCCCTGCGAAGTAAATGATGGTCAGTTGCATGCAAGCTGCAGCCAAACGGATTCGCCGTCAAGTAGGCAACCATTTAAAGCTGTCTGCATGGCTAAATGAACCAAATTAAATTAAAGTTTCGTTCACTCAAATTCGCAAAACGGACACGGAAAACGAAACTCACTCAGAGAGTGAGCAACTTTTACTGAATTTGTATGGAGAATTTATTCTTGCGCTGAGTGACCTAATCTTTAAGGTGCTTCCTTGTAGAGTCCACAAATGGTTACCACGTAGGCACATGCATGCACTTCCACTTCGAATTTTCAATTCCACACAACTCTGGAATGAATGCCCCATTTCACCTGAAGTTGCCACTTCCTGTATGCTGCAGTACAGCAAACGTGGAGTGTGGAGTAGCAATTTCATTGTGGTACGCAGGGTTCTGCATTTTCGAAACAAAGACAAGAAAATTAACTCCCCGCAGAATTGCTTCATTTTGAGAAATATCATTTTCGTGAACATTCTTCCTGTCAAACGGGACTTGACTATGGCTTGTTTCATTCGTCAAGTGCATCAGTTCATTTCATTTGAAGCAAAGACTTGTTTCAATTGACGCAATGCATAACTAATCTGCTTCCTTCATTTTTTTTTCCACTTGCACTTCAATTCGGGGCTCATACGATTTGTCACGCGTCGCGTCTTGAGGCATAAAAATATAGTAGCCGCACAATATCGGGTGCCGATAGGGATGGCATCCGAATTATATGTAGTCCGAATGTTCCGGAGTCCAGATGGCTGCCATCGGGCTCAGGAAAAGTCTCAAATACACTATAATATCGGTATTTTCGGAACGGGGACGACGCGAAGGTGCAGAAAATCGATGTCCGACGCCATTTTGGAATCAAAAGGTCAAATACCCTAAGATACGGATATTTTCGGAATGCCAAAAATCGATATTCGACGCCACTTTGGAATCCAGATGGTGGTTATCGGAATTCAGAAAAATTATCAAATACCCTAAGATATGGGTATTTTCAGAACGGGGACGACAGGTAGATGCCGAAAATCAATATTAGACGCCATTTTGTAATCCAAGATGGTGGCCATCGGGTTTCAGAAAAGTATATAATAACGTAAGATCTGGGTATTTTTGGAACGAGGACGACGCATAGACGCCGAAAATCGATATTCGACGCCATTTTGGAATCCAAAATGGTGGCCATTGGGTTACAGAAAAAGTGTCAAAACATTAAGATCTGGGTATTTTCGGAACGGAGACGCGTAGAAGCTCAAAATCAATATTCAACGGTCTCTAGACGTCACCCCGATTCCAAAAATATCCACATTAATCGGTATTTGACAGTATTTCACACTTCTTCTGAACCAATCCCTCCATGCTAGATTTTGAAATGGCGTTTGGTTTCTGGCCACATTGATGGGTATTTGACAGTATTTCCCACTGTTTCTTAAACTGGAAGCCGCCATCTTGGATTTCAAAATGACGTCGATACCAGAAGCCTCTAGACGTCAATACCCATATTGATGGGTCGGCATCAGAATTTTCCACTTTTTTCTGAAATCAAAAGCCGCCAGCATGGATTTCAAAATGACGTAGAATAAAGATTTTCAGCCTCCAGACGTCACCCCGATTAAAAAAAAAAGTAGAAGGGTCTGTGCCTAGGGGCACGAATGGATGCTTGACGTAGGACCGCTAGTGGACGGAATAAATGTGAAGAGCATTAAGTTCTTTTAATTGATCAACTATCTATTATCTCAACTCTTTCCGTTTTCGAATTGTAGGCGTACCAAATTTGTAGTAATCTTTTTCAATGAGAAAGTTGATTACGAGAATCAATCAAAATCACTTGTACCCCTGCTTCCAAGTTTGTGTGGTCATTGGGGGCTTATGGTTCTGAATATGGACAAACAAGCACAGATAAATTCTATTCCAACTCTTTACTGATGTAAGCTTGATGGCCCTGAAAAGGGCCGTTTTATTGAAGAAGACATCCATGGCCACTTACGCTTGGCGTGTTTAGTGTAGGTGACAGCATCACGGACCTCATTTTCCAGGAACACCTTCAGCACACCTCGTAGATCAGACCGGGATACGTCAGACACCGCCACGGCGAGCCAGACGACGGATGGTGGTTATCTCGAAGAATTTGCGATGACGATTGGCACCTCCTTTGCCACGACCAGTCAATTGTTGCTTGTTGGGTTATAGAAAAGTGGACTAACCACCTTCCTACTGCTGCTATTGCTGACCACGCCGTCCGAAGTGAATATGGGCTGATACCAGTAGTTGTAGTAAAATGTTCGTTTATTTCTGTTGTTTATGATTTATACATTGATTTTACAAGTTAATTTATTAGCCTATCTGGCTCTTCATCTTTGTTCTTTGGATATTTGGATAATTGGATAATTTACTATTCGCGTATTTCATCTAGTTAGCAGAATACTCCTTGGGGAGTGTGTTTTGTTTTAATTGAAAAATTTGATAACCTACCTAACTACGACTCTAACTTAACCTAACGTGCCAGATCACGTATGATCTGATGATCTGATCTCAGACAGGTGTCTCTGAACCTTTCCATGGAGACCGTTCGTCGCTCTTCGAGAGGCTGAAGGCCAGCCAGGCGGTGGACCTCAGAATTGCGGGTCCGTGGAGGACTGTTTAGGATCATCCTAAGGATCTTGTTCTGGATCCTTTGGAGTTTGAGGTGATGGCACATAGCACAACTCTCCCAGATTGGCGTTCCGTACTCAATGGTGGGGAGGATGATTTGCTTGTGGATGGCAAGCTTGTTTTTAAGGGAAAGGGTGGACTTCCTGTTGATAAGTGGGTAGAGCGACCTAATCAAGATGTTGCACTTGGTGGATGTTTTGTCCACATGGGACCGGAATAGCAACTTGCTGTCAAGGGTGAGACCAAGGTAGACGACTTCACTCGACCATTCAATGGGAGTGTTATCAAGGTGGACTTTTGAGTTAGCAGGCGGAACAAGCCGGGGTGAATTGGAGTGTGGAAACAGGATGGTCTGTGTTTTAGCTGCATTGATACAAATCTTCCAGCTTTTAAAATAGTCGGACAGAACATCCAGGCCTGATTGGAGTTTTCTTGTCAGAGCACGGATCACTCGACCCTTATAGATGATGGCAGTGTGTGAAGATGTTAAAGAGGATAGGACCAAGGAGGCTACCCTGGGGAACCCCAGCATCAGCGTTGAACGTATCAGAAGGAGAATTGTTCAAGAAGACCTGGAATGATCTGCCCGACAAGTAGTTTTTGATGATCTTCACGAGGAAGATCGGGAAGTTGTATCGATGCAGCTTGTACACTAGGCCATCATGCCAGACATTGTCGAACGGCTTCTCGACGTCCAACAATGCCATGGCAGATGTATTGGAAACGGACTTGTTCCGCTTGATGATGTTACTAACCCGTGCGAGTTGGTGGATGGTGTGGCCTTTCCTAAATCTGAATTGTTCTTTGAGAAAGATGTTATTATCATTTGAAAACACCAGCAGACGGCTGAGTATCAGTTTTTCGAATAGCTTCGAGATGGATGACAAGAGGCTGATGGGGCGATAGCTTTTGGCACTGGTAGGGTCTTTGCCAGGTTTGTGAATTGGAATAACTTTGGCTAACTTCCAGCATGCAGGGAAGTAGCCAAGCATTAAACACTTGTTGAAGACCACTGCAAGGTGCTTGAAGAAGTCAACACTCAAGTTTTTCAGCTCGAGGTTGACCACTCCATCGACACCAGCGGCCTTCATGTTCTTTGTTGATTTAATCGCTGCTATCACCTCATCAGCCGATATTCTACTTTCGTCAGGGACAACTACGGGGGTGGCAGCGACTCTAGACATTGCCTGTGATACTGCAGGCTCGTGGGGACTCACCATGGCGTGGCCAAGGTTATGTGAATTTACAAAGTGTTGTCCAAGAGCATTGGCCTTTTCAAATGGGGTTATTAGTAAAGATGGGTCCGAATTTTGGTTAGGAGAGGAGAGGAAGGATTTTTCAAAATCTTTGCCATTTTCCAGAATGGCTTAGCACAATCTGGGAGAGAGCGAATCTTGTTTGCAAAATCGATATTTCTGAGATCCACCATCCTGGCTTGGATGATTTTGTTGAAACGGTTGCAATTGGTGTTCAGGTTAGGCAGCCCAGTACGCTGGTACTGCCTACGAATCGTGTTGCGGAGTCTAATGAGGTCTTTAGTAGGCCTGTCAAGGTTCAGAGTATTACTCACCTGTCTGGATACTGGCACATGTAGCTCCCTGGCCCGGGAAATTGCTTGATCGATGGAGCGCAGATACCAGTCAACATCTTCGGACGATTCCGGTTGGACATCGTAGTCTACAGCGGTGTCGATGCAATGTTGGAACTGACCCCAGTCAACACGATGATAGTTGCGCCGGAAAGCTTCAAATCGATTTACGGAGTAGTGGTCCGAGCTGAGTTCCTGATAGGTGATAGGTTGAGCGATGTTGTTGCCCATGTTGCTGATGAAGATATCGATGGTAGCGTGAACACCGGACCGACTCAACCGGGTGGGAGTTTCCGGACTCAAGATGTTGTACTGCGCTTCCTGCAGGTCGTTGTTCAGGATGGTGCCGTTTTGATTGCGCCGATTGTTGCCCCAAGCTTGATGTTTGGCGTTCAGGTCGCCAGCGATGATAAAGTTTTCCCGTCGTCGTGTTAGCTTGATAATATCTCGTCGCAGATCTGCTGACGATCCGTCCCTGATGTTGACTTGTTTGGGGCAGTAAGCCGCGACGATGGTGATGGGGCCGATAGGAGTAGAAACTTCCACCCCTACGGCTTCGATGATCTTCAGCTGAAAGCTGGGCATCAGTCGACAGCAGATGTTTCTCCTTAGTGCAATAGCAACTCCTCCTCCTTCAGAGTTGGTTCGATCTAGCCAAACAATACATTTTAATACTCAACAGTCAGTTCAGACGGTGCCGGTGGTTAAGGATGTGTTTCATGTGACAGATAGATAATTTTCAAATAAACCTACTATTCCACCAGACTTATTTCTGACAGACAAGGAATCAATTTTGACAAACACTTTTTTTTTCGAAAATTTTAATTTATTTTCCAAGTGTCAAATTTGAGTGAAAATTCATCAAATGGAACACAGCCTAAGTGCCCAAGTAACAATTTTGGTTTTATCATAGTAGACCATGATTTGGACTATCATAGTAGACCATGATTTGGATTACCGTCGGTGATTAATCACCAATTGGACAAACCAATTGGCAATCGATGTGTGTCGGTGATTGTCACTCGATTGCGAAACATAGACCAACGTTAAATAAAATGACGAATAAGAAGAAGAATAAAGAACTTTAAAGGAAATATACAAATTATTGAAGTGAGCTAAGTTCATAATTGGAACGTATTTTTGAAGAATTTATCGACTTTTAACAAGTTTTGTCACTTTTAGAAATGGGCATAGTCGATCACCACCGACGGCGCCGCCTACAGCCTGCTCTGCTGTATGATGCGAAAGAAGACATCAGAGCATTTTGACACCGAGTCGGTTCAAATTTTTAATTAAACTCATGACACACTGCGATGCACGAGCACGCATTCACTAAAAGCCGCCACCGGCACTTCTACTGTATCAGACAGCCCCTGCATAATCGTTCATTAAGGGGGTATTCCCAATCTTTTGCCTTTTTTTGGCCTGTTTTTCAATTAATTTTTTTTTCAAGGAAAATGAATAGTAATGCGCCTAACTCTTTGGGATTCTTGTTTATTGAACATTAAAGTTTACAAATAAAAAATTTTCGACATAAAAAAAGACATTATTGACGTCACAAAATGGCGGCAAACAGACCCCTGTTCGCCGCAAACGCCTGGACGGGCGAAGACTTTTCTCGGAACGGCTTCATCTGAAACAGATTTCGTGATGAAATTAATAATCTGCATAAGATTCTCTGGAGCTTCTCCCGTTGGCAGCAAAAAATCTTGCAAATTAACAAAATGGCGGCCAGATGAAAAAACAGGCGATTTTTAGCCCGCTTTTTTGCAGCTTTAAGGTGCTTCAAACAATGTTAAATGTTAATATTTTTGGCTGAAAGTGGGAGAAGCTCCAAAGAATTTAATAAGGAACAAAATGCGCAAAGATTCAAGTTAATATCTCTTATAGTTTCTGAGAAAAATCTTCGCCCGATAAAAAAAATGTGGTTTCGAGAAAAACGCGTTTAAAGTTTTGACTTTAGTTAAAACCATTTGGGGGTTCTTACCATTAGTCAGCTATGCCTGGACACCGAATTCGCTGATCGGAAAACGGCTTGGGGGGATGAAAGTATATAGTCTAAAGTACAAAAAAACGTGAAAAAAAAATTTGATTTTTTGAAAAAAAAGATCGGGAATACCCCCTTAAATTACTTAAATTTGATAGCCAATCAAAAAGACTGGCGTTGACAATACTTACCTCTTATTAAGAAAGCTTCAATTAGGTTACTCTATCCATTGAAGGCGCTGATATCGTATTTTTTCACAACTGACCTCACGCTACCATACAAACCATGACTCGATCCTAACTCGTACCATTCTCCACCCTTTTCCCCTCTTCAGTGGCACGACGCGCAGGACTTTGGCCGCAAACGGGAGATCCGTGCGCATATGTACAAACTGCGCGAGGAGCGCCTGAAAGCCCTGTACGCCCCTAGTGACGCCCCGATAACGCCGTCCTCGCCTTACATCATGGAACAGCACAACACCAGCAGTGCCAAGTTCGGACTGTCCAAGACGTCCGTCACCGGTAGCCATGGCGATTCACTCGCCGATCAGAGCTTCGAAAGTTTCAAAACCAAGGAAATCAGAGATTCGGAAAGTCCCACCAGGTGAGTGCCCCGCCCGCATGCCAGCCGGCATGCCTCTGGAATCCATTCTAATCCACTTAAAACCATTTCTCCCTTCAGATTCGGAACCGTCATCCCCTCAGACAACAGCGGTTGGCACGTTACCACTGCTGAAGAGCGGAGCGCCGACGGTAAGACCCACACCATCCGAAGTTCTGCTGCAACTGAAGGGACCAAGGACATCCAAGGCGGACGCACCGCGTTCACCGGCAAGAACGAGGAAGTCAGCAGCAACCGCTTCGAAGGTGATGATAAGAACTTTGTTCACAGTACCGGCGATCAGTCGTCAACCTTCCTGGCCGAGAATTCCGTTGTCGAAGGCCAGGATGGCAGTACAATCTCCAAGAAGTCCACGTCGGTGTCATCCTCCTCGTCGAAGGTGATTCGTTCCCAGCAGACATACGGCGATTCTACCGAATCAGACAAGATTGAGCTACCACCTGCCAATACGAACGTTCCGGAGTTCATGTGCGGCCTTACAACCAATACTCGGCAACAAACCACGAAATCTACGATTCAAACGCAGGAAACCGACGGTAACATGACCAGCAAGCCCCTTTCGAGTGATCCGGATCGTGTAAGCGAAGCTTTCCGCTTGGCTGAGCTGCCAGGCAAGGTGATCGAGCAAGACATCCGGATGATCAACCCTTCCACGAGGATGATAACCATAACCAAGAAATTGGAGGACGGCACTACTGTGACTACTCGGAATTACGAAAAAATCGGCGTAGAACCGGAGAAACCGTTCGACCAGGAAGCACACGCCGCCACTCAAAAGCGTCTGAACGCAGCCGTGGAGGCACTCAGCAAGGGTCGTGACGAAACTGAGCATCGATCTACCAAGAAAGACATCACCGAAAAGGTAACAAACCTGCAGTTCATCGCCGAAGAGCGTATGGAAACCGAACGAATCGAACAGATCAAGAAGCAGCAGTATCTGCAACAGCAGCAGCAGCAGCAGCAGCAGCAGGAGACCCTTACCCAACAGAAGGTGTCCGTAGACGTGAACGCAGCGCACGATTCGTTCGCCCGTTCCCTCCGTTGTGCTTCGCCAACTGAAAGTGTTCGCTCGGTTCGCTCGAACTCCGCCACCGGAAGATCCAGCGTCAGTCCGGATAAATCCGTTCGCGGAAGACGATCGCCCTCACGGGAATCCGATACTAGTCGCCTCAGCACCCACACTACTACCCGTTCCAGCCGTACGGATGTCTCGTCCAAGGACTATATGAAACCAACCATCACTTCAGAGCGGAAGCAGTCAACGTTCAAGGATACAGTCATCCAGGAGTCATCAACCGTAGAAGATGCTTACGATACAGTCGACAAAACCAAGCTCAAGGACCGCTCAACTAGTCCGAAGAAGGTTCCACAAAACTCACCGGACATGACTCCACGTGGTCCATCTCCCGATAAGCTCTCCAGACATGTCGCTCCGAAGGATTCGACGCCGTTCTGTTTGGTGGATACCCCTCGCGGAATATCTCCTACCAAACGAGATTCGTCTCCGGCGAAGATGACCTCGGCAAAGTTAGTTCGCGAGAACTCTTCGGAAACGTTCAACGTGGACACCACTATCACCGTATCTACCAAGGAGAAGAAACAGCAGCAGATGCGGGAAGATGTTGAAGTGTTCGACACTGCGAAGTTGGTTACCGAGAACGATGATATCACGATCAACGTCAAGCTGGAAAACGTTACCGACGACATCGAGGTGACGACTACGGTCGAAGAGGTCGACTTGAACGATAAAAAACCTGAAACAGAAGACCAGGACGCCCCCAAATCGGAGAAAACTCCAAAGAAGAAACCACCGCTGCTGCGTAGCGAAACCTTTGAAGAGCGTTGCCGTAAGATCTTGGGAATGCCCGGAAAAGTAGACAGTGTGGAGGAAACTACCGAGACGAACACATCCAGCGTATTTAGTACCTACGACAATACGGTGACTCGTAGCTCGGAGATCCGCGAAAAGCGCAAGAAAATGGAACAGGAAATCAAATCGATCGAAACCGAAACGATGCGAGCAGCTCGCAAGACGAATGAATTCCTCACAGGTGAACGACGACCATCGGCGCCGGCCACCTCGCCAGATCGCAAGGGATCTGCTGCTTCACCCACAATGAAAGCGACGTCTCCGGTTCGCAAACAGTCTCAACCCTCACCGGAGCGTCGTCCTCAGCAGCAGCAGCAACAACCTTTGAAGGATTCATCCACGGCCAGGAAATACTCCCAACCTTCCCCGGAACGACGTCCAAAGGACGAAACTCCCTCCAAGAAGCCATCCGAACCTAAGCAAAGCACCCCCGTTCGTAAACATTCCAAACCATCTCCAGATCGTCGCCCGAAGGACGAGCAGTCTCCACAGCGAAAACCAGTCGAACCTAAGGAAAGCTCTCCCATTCGTAAACATTCCCAACCATCTCCAGATCGTCGACCGAAGGACGAGCAGCTTCCGCAGCGAAAACCAGTCGAACCGAAGGAAGCATCCCCCGATAGGAAGCACTCACAACCTTCCCCAGTTCGCCAACCTTCTGAACTTGTGAAGGAACCTTCGCCACATCGATGCTCGCGATCGCATGATCGCTCGCCAAGTCCGAAACCATCTGTACCACAGGAAAAGTCTCCGGTTCGCAAGGCTTTAGCCACTTCACCAACACGTAAGGCATCCCGTGATATAACTCAAACTGATTCAACCGTGGTGACCAAGACCGTAACTTCCAAGGCCGATATCCTTGTCAATCAGAAGCAAGAAGGCAAAAACATTTCGGTTACCGAAATCACCATTCAACCAGCGAACGACACAAAGAAATCTGACAAAGTCCTTACCAAACAGACATCCGATACTAAATTCGATCGCCGATCGACCAGCAGCCGTGTGGTGACCAACAAGAGTTCGTCCGACTTTGACGTCAAACGTAAGGCCTACATAGCCGACAAAACAGAGTCAGACAGAACGACTCGTACGGTGACAAAACCACGAACTCCTGCCACCAGCCCGGAGAAGCGACGTCCGCAGGACACTAGTCCGACAAAATCAGACAGGACCAAACATCACATAACCATCGCGAAGATTAAAATCGAGCCAGTTCGTAAACCTGTTCTGGCGAAAGTAGTCGTTGAGGACCGATCCACCAGGTTGGGTAAAACCACGAGGACTACAAAGAAGGTTGTCGATGAGTACACAGAACCGGAGTCGGACAAGGATACCGGAATTTCCGACAACGAAATTGACGATGAGCTGATGACCACCGTAGAGACCACTACGACTACGGTGACCACCACCAAGAGAAGCGATCGTAAGGATTCCGCTCCGGTCAACCGAACTACCGGAAAGGTAGAGAAATCCTACACTCGTTCGTCCAGCGATAACGTACTGAAGTCAAATAATGCTAGTACGACAAAGAAGACCACCGCTAGCAAGACTACAGCGGCGACTTCCTCCACTACCACTTCATCATCGGCCAAGAAGATCGAACGTCCGGTGAAATGTGTAACCACAAAGACCATCAACCTGTCAGCGAAGCCAACAATCGATTCGGACATTCTGGACAACGTGGTGATCGACATCCAGCATGCCAAGTCCTCGCGGGAACCTACCCCGAACAAGCTGATTCCGATTCCGGTTTCACCGGATGAGGATACCGGTAAGCCACGCTACCCGGATGCAGTTCAAGAGCCGGATGACGATCCCAAGCACGTTCCGAAGGTGAGCAATGTGCCAATTTTCGAGGAAGCTACCAACGAATACATCGGTTGTGAAATCACGGAGGTTGAGGATCATGAAGTCCGAGCAGCTCGCGCTTGCAGAATCACCAACCTGGATCGCGTGACCGAAGATGATGAATCTCTGATGAGCGTTACACAGAAGGTGTCGAAATTTGTTGAAGAAGCGAATAAGTTGAAGGACGCACAGAGCAAAGCACCGAATCGATTTGTTCGATGCGAGTACGACGAAATGAACGAACACCTCAAGTCGGATGAATGTCTGCTGAGCGTATCGGATAAGGTTACGAAGTTCATCTCCACGGCCGAGGAAGTCAAGAAGATCAAGACCTCGGGGTTGTTCGTACCGGAATGCAAGGTAACTGTGGACGTTACCGAATCCGATGAACATTTGCAGAGTGTCAACGAGAAGGCGTCCAAGTATGCGCACGTGGATAATCAGAAGACTTCGGAGACGAAGACTTCGACGGTAAAGACAACTTTGGATGAAATGGATCGCAGTTTTGTGGATCGAGATGATGAATCGCTGCAGAGCGTTTCGGAGAAGAAAAAGAAGTTCATTTCAGGAACGAGTGCTCCGCAGAAATCACCGGAATTGGTGAAGAACATTATGAAGCAAACTACTCGACAGGAGAGAAATTTGGATGAAGAAGAGGGCAATTTGGACTCGGAACATAAAACGACCATTACGGAACGCTACACAACGGCCACGTTGACCAAGCCGAAGGACAAGGTTCCACAGAGTGTCGGTCTTCGAAGTACGGAAGCTGTCAAGAAGGCAAAGCAGATATTTGAAAATGGAAACAAGCCGGCAGCTTCTGAACTGGCAAGGCAGAAGGACATTTTGAGCCGTCCGTCAATTTGGGAGGATCGCCGAAAGAAAGAGCAAACCGCTACGGAAAACAGCCAGACGGATGTGAAGCTGACCGATATCGGAGTCTATAAAAAGACTCAACCGAAGGTTGAACCGGAACCTAAGAAAGAGGAACCGATTGAACCGAAGCAGGAGGCACCAAAGTCCCGTCGAGACAGTGTTCCAAAGACGCCAGCCTACATTAAGGACACTGTTTCCACCAAGAAGGATTTGTTTGAGAAGAGAATTTCTTCGTCAAAACTGGAAACGAGTGAGCTTATTAAATCGACAACTTCTCAGGAGGATCGGACAGAGTATACGTCAACTATTAAGCGACCTTCCATCACTGAGAAATACGAACGCTCCATTTCGCGGGAAACCCCAACTCCCGGAAACAAACCTTCGTACATGAGCCACACGGTATGCTCCTTGGAGCATGTAAACGCGGGACGTCGTGAGTCGGTTGATATGACTCAACGATCGGTTAAGGTCGAAGATCACGATTATCAGCAGGACATTACTAGTTCCACCAAGTCAACTGGCAAATTTGGAGTAGAACTGAAGCGTGGCGATTCCGCTAAGAATGTAATTCCCGCTTCGATAAAGCGTAAGCCCTCGATCGATTCTTCAGGCATAGAAGATATCTTTGAGCTGGAAGTTTTGGAGAAGATGCTGGAAGTGGTGACGGGATACGAGCAGCGTAGGCGTATACGGGCACAGATTCGACTGGTGAAGAAGTCGGGAGAGAAGTCGATCTCAGGGGTCACGACGACAACTACGACGACTACGTCTACTATGAGGACTAACAGCCGTGTACGGGATCCAAGTCCAAAGCGTAAGGACTCCAGCCCCACCAGGTCGATGACGACTCGGAAGAGTTTGCAGGATACGGCAGAGGCTAAGGTAATCAAAACGGTGGAGGTAGAAAAGAAGTCCGAACAGGTGCAGCGTAGTGCGAGTCCCACCAAAACCAAGCCATTGACTAACGGAAAAGCTACGGCCACTACCACTGTTACAACTACGATGAAAACATCCAAGTTTGGCGAACGGGTTGCCCCGACAAAAGGTGATGCTAAGGAGGATAAACCAATCTGGGCAACCAGTAACATCCTGAAAAAAGCATCGGATGGTACGCGCAGCTTCAAAACGACTTCATCGACCACTTCTTCGACGGCGAAGAAGGCTACGACCATAATGCGTGATGTGCCGAAAGAAACCAAACCGACGGATTGTATCACCTCCAGCTACGGAGTTGGTCCGACGGACGAAAACGGACTGCCACTGTTCGGGATCCGGGCGCTGAAGAAGAAATCTGCTCCTGTTCCTGCAGAAGCTGAAACCACGACAAGCAAGGTCAGCGGTTCGATCTTTACGGAAACTTTCTATTCGGAAAATGGATCCGCCCCGGTTGGTGAACGCAAGACTACGGTCTATTCGTCGGATGCAAAGGATTTGGAGAACCTTAACCTGTCCAGCAGTAAACGCAGCTTGGCTGAGGTTCGAGAGAAGCTGCTTGAGCGTGAAAATTCCCGCAAAGGGTTGATCTCGGTTACGAAAACGGAGAAGATCGGCAATGGATCTAGCCATGTGACTACGGAGATCGGTGCCTTAGATGACTTGCCCCAACGAGGTGCCAAGATCGTTCGGAAAGGATCCGTGAAGGAACTTACCGAACGTTTCGTCCATAAGGAATCCTCATCGTCGCTGATGTCGGAGAAGACCTACCCGAAGGCGGGTTTGATCCTCCGATCCACCCAGAGTCACTCTAGCCGATCGTCAACGCCGTGCGAAAACATCTCCGTCCGGTCCGGATCGGTTGACTTCGACGAAAATGACATCGAACTGCGATCGGGTGCAGCCAAGTCGGTTGTACGCGAAAGTGCTTTGTCCTTCCAGCAGGAGGAATCCGGTGATGACGGTGGAGTCGTGTTCCGCAAGAGCCATAGCAGCAGCAGCAGTAGTCGGCAGCAGGCGCGATCGTTCCTGAACGACGGCAGTCGGGTGTCTGGGGTGCAGGACGTGCTGGAACGGATGCGAAATGCCGATAATGGTAAGTTCAGTGAGATATGATTGTGTGGGAAGTGCTTGGATGATTGATGTTTTCTATTTTGGTTATAGTGGAAGAATCCGGAGACAGTGCGGAGGATCGCGAAGCACGCGCTTTGTTGAACAAGTTCCTCGGTGCGTCGGTGCTGATGAGTGGCATGGAGTCGATGATGGCCAGTAGTGCGAAGGAGGAAATGTCGACAGCCGAAGGTAGCGCTGCGCCCGGTACAAAAAAGGTAAGTGTTGAACCTGGTGACCCCATAAAGATGTATATAGGGTTACGGTATGTAATGTGGGTCTAGTCCTTTCATTCGGCCTATCACGCAAATAAATAATTAATTAAGGAATATTACACAAAAAATAAGGAAAATATTGATCACTGATGGTTGATAAATGTGTACCACACACAAATCAATTTATATCACAACATTTCAATACATTTTCAGCTCTCGTAAGTAATAAAACTGGTTGAGAATATCACAATGTTCGGAGTTTTTAGCCGCCATGACTTATAAGGTTAAGATGGGAAGGTTGACTGACGATCATCAAATGGCCTGATTATGGCATTTATTGATTGGAATTACCTGATAATACACACTAGACGTAAAACTTACAGTTGCTGTTTGAATATTTTATGTTTATTTTAATTGTTTAACAACGTTTTCACAAGTAAAACATGGACCCAACTTTAGGGACACATTTCTTTTCTATGTTCCTAACTATGGCCCATGAAATTCATTTGACAGCATATAGCAATAAGAGTAACGTCAACAATGTTGTTTTGCATTTGGATGATAAGGAACGAACAGGAAGGGAGATTTTTTCTGCCAAACCTGTATAATGAACATCACAATGTTCTGATTTAGATATTCTGCGGTCAAAAGACGATAAGCGAAATTTTTAATTTTTAATTTTTAAATTGAGTGATTTAATGTAGTTTTCGTAAAATTTTCTCTAAGAAATGTTTTGAGGAATGAAGAGCATTAAGTTAACAGTGATAGTGATAAAAAAAAATACATCAGAAAACGTTACCAAGAGCGTTTTTTTGAGGATCAAACAAGATAGGACGAAGTTGCATCCATAAATAGACCCAATTTGGGGACAATAGACCCATATTACATACATTTCCCTCGTGAGTTATTGTCTTAAAAAAAGTAAGTTTTTCAACTTTTCGTGGTTTCTGATAGCAAACGACATGATAAGCATATCTAAGCATACCATTTAGCAGTAGAATATCGTTTGCAGGTAAATTCATTGATGAGTTATGATTAAAAACGTAATCGATGGCTGCATATTAGACCGAGGCTAGGGACGTATACCCTACTTATCGTCGAAGGACGATGCCGGGCGGTCGTTGTCGCGGTTCTAAATCCATTGGAAAATAGGAAAATAGTCAGTGCGCCTTAATTAGAAGTCATGTCCGGTCAAAGTGGCACATGAAGCATGTGAAATCCATTAATCAAGTTAGCCGTAGCCCCAAGCAACAAGCGTGTTGCCTGTGACGTTATCGTTTTCTTCTTCGTCGTGGCCTACTACCTTTTGAACAAAGCACCGCAAGCGTGAAAAGGTGAAAATACGGGTGATTGTTTACATTTCCACCCGTCAAGGTCGGACAGCCGAAAAATTCTAAATTTGTGTATCTTTTTCACAATTATGTTAAGCGTGTTGACAGAAGCAATCAGTGTGAACCTGACGAGAAACAACCTGAATCTAGTACTTCACCGCGTGTGATGGTGACCCAGACCCCCATTGATCCGGGAAAAAACCATGCACGGCGTCGTCATCGGCCTGCTACGATTGTCTTTATATTCGCCGAGCGAATAATGAAATCTACTTTTCGACTTCCTTGTCCCGCCGCAAGAGGGCACGATCCGCGCGCGTTGTTTGTCCAAACATTTTCCGCTCACGCGCATTCACCCATAAATAAGACGAGGACTGAACTAAACTAAAGAAAGAACACGCAGTTTTCCAGCTCAATAGTTAGTTTATGGCCAAACAAACGCAAACAGCTGCCTCTGCTGTTTTCTGTTGGTTCGGAATTGCCAAAAATAGAACTAAAATTGAGTGAACTTTGCGTGCACTTTCCGTCGTTGACTCTTTCCCATCCAAGCGATATATGGATGGACTCTCGGCCTGTAGCAGACGTGATGACGGGTTAAAGAGCAGATCTACTGTTTCCTGATTTGTTTTCGTCCGAAATTGATTCTAATGGATTCCATGACCGGGAAAATGGATTAATGGAAATTGGGGAAGCTATAGCTGTTCATCACTATTTCTGTGGTCACGGAATTATTTGGCGAAAAACGGGGTCACAGAGCCATTTGTCTGATGAAGGGAACAATGGATCGTAGCTCATATAAATACAAACGGTGAAAATGTTTGTAAATTTGAGGAGAACACGCAATTTACGTGTGAATGATGATGTAGGAGCGAATTTCAGACTAATTAAGGTTGAACGATCGTTAGAGCGATTAAGAAGACATTGCGACCCTGCTTTGCAAAAAATGTTAATTACCACGTCACTCGGCTCCGTAGAATTATTAATAAGACCACAGACTATCAGACTTAGCGCATCAATCTTGGCTATCGAACACGAATTTTTGGTTGCATTGATTTTTTCGGAATACTTTGAACGGCAAATTAATCTGACTCACATTCAAGTCCCGTTCACTTAAATTCGCATTAGCGTAGGTCACTCATAGAATTAGTAATTTTTAACTCAAATATGAATAAATTTCATTGACAATTACTCATATTTACTCATTCAATTAATTAATTAATTTAGCTTTATTTAGGAGGCTTTCAGCCTTAGGCTGGTTCGCCTCCGACTCATTCAATTACTCATTCTGCGAGTGACCTACGTTTTTGCGAATTTGAGTGCACGTGACTCAAATATGAGTCAGATTCATTTGCCGTGAGCTCACCCTACCAGTTGGCATTGCTTTGTAAAGATATTTTGAAAAAGGCGGTTCGAACAAGGGGTAGGTTACTCCGCACACCAATCTTGGGTCATCTTTTTTGTCAGTGTGCCGCAAATATGCCAATTGTGCCGGTCATAGAGCAAGCTGCAATTGTTTGTAAAACATCTATCCCGGCAACCCGGTATTTCTGACACCTTGAATGTTTTGGTATGAAATCGCAAGGATAAATCGGATTGAGGATGATGCGGGAAATGACGGGTGTGTGAATTTTCGGTGTTATGTGATCGATAGGGTAATAAAAGTCCTGTGTTTTAGTGTTTTATAATGCCCTCAAAGGCAGACCAGAAACCTAGCCTTTCGGCCGGAAAGAGTTGGAACCGATGGGGAGCATTGTTGGAGATCGACTATAGAGGGTGATGAATAGATTTCTTTAGTTTGTTTTGTGTGAGTTGTAGCCTCGGTTGCAGCATTATTTGAATTAAGGGTACTAATGAGGTCTGATTAACTGCCTCTTTCTCTTGAGCCCACTCTGGAACCTACATTTCGTATTTAGATCTATAAGTGAACTGCTGGTCTGAGTTCCTCTGGTATTTTTAATTAGAAGATGTTCCTGAACATACAGTCAAACAGCACGTAATATTCTGAACAACTTCAATGACAGTTGACCAACAGTGCTCCCATTTTATTTACAACAATCTAAAGCCTATGGGATTGTGCCGAAGGTATGCCGAAAATGTGCCGATGGATGTGCCCAAGCTGTGCTGAGTGACTTACCCCTTGGGTTCGAAGTTTTTACAACTGAAATAGTCGATTTGTCCGATCAGTCCTCTGCATTTGCCCTCGAAATGTTCTGAACTTACCCTCAAGATCCTTATTATGGCTTCAAAGTTCCGTGCTTATGCTTTGTAGGTAATTTCTGCTTGCTGTTATAAGCGTTTGGACTTGAATAAAGAGGTTCTCTTGGTTTGTCTAGATCAGTGGTCCACCAATATTTAATACTGATATAGCATTCAGGTTGTATTAGCTAGCAAAAGCAACATCAAACTCACCGAGAAATGTTTACTCAACCGAGTTATTAATAAAGAAAAAATCGATTAAGAGAATCGATCATTGCAGTTAGGCCTTGTGATTATCTCCAACTCCAACAAAATGCCCAAAAAAAACCTGCTCCAGGATTGACTGAAACCAAAAAACAAAAATTATATCGGAAAACTCACCTCACAATCGCTAAATTAGCCTAGAACTACCAAAAATGGCCTAGGATAGCGTTAAAAACTCCTAAATTACCTTAAAATCCCTAAAACAGTTTGACAGTTATCACAAAAATCTTGAAACGTTATAATGGTCCTAAAACCGCTTAAAATTACTCAATGAAATCAAAATCAAACTTTACAAACTGGCTTGAAAATGCCCAAATGAGCTCGAAATCTCCCAATTGGCCTGAAAACACTAGTTCTAAAATTCAATGATTGAACTGCCCTGGAAACACCAAAACAGTTAACCCATAAATAGCTAAAATGGCATAGAAAACCGTGACTTATTTTAAGACGCCAAAATATTGAAATGAGTAAGATTCAAAATAGTATTTGAAAATTTCAATTGCTTCTGAGCAAGTTGTCTGAATTTTCGCGACCCACCGGTGGGTCGTGACCCATAGATTGAGAAACGCTGGTCTAGATCTGGGTACAGCGGACTATAGTCGCTTTATTTATAGTCTGGCGGATCGAATTTCGAGATATTGTAGACCAACAATTGAAAAGGTACTATCTACTTTTATAAACAAAACTTTGAGTTCTTCCCTCGCCAACCGAATGAAAATTAACAGCATCATAGATAGGGGAAATTTTCCCCAAACCGAGGATGATGTTGGTTTTCATAGTCGAGCCTTGAGTCGCGACAAAAGGGTTTCCGAAGTTTTGTTCACAAAAGCTGATGTGCTCTTTTCTGTTTTTGATCGTGAAATAATCGATTGGTTCCGTTATTTGACAGCTCAATTGGCTCCCGAGATTCTATCCGCCAGACTATAAATATAGCGACTATACTGCGAACTCACTCAATGTGCTTGTCACTTGGGAGCCAGTGAGAACTGTCAGACGGGAGCCAAACATTCCGAAGCAACAAATGCAGTTACTGCTCTTATCTATCGTCAAGCATTGCAATCTCATAAAAATGATTCATACTGTTTCATAACACATTCTTAACTGTAAGCTCAAAGACAAAAATCAACCAGTGATGAAAGCATAAAAACCAGCATAATTTTTATGACTCAGCTGAGTTTTCAATTGCAGTAAAACATACTTTGGCGAAGTATGTAT